CTTTTACAAACACTGCATATCGATAAATTACACGCGAAGTTCAGTATTCAATCTCAAACCTTTCCCATTCAGTTATGGTAACTTGCAGTTTTCTAATGTCAAATACAGATGGCGACAAGTGTTCAAGAATAGCTTGATCTGCACTCGTCTTCCTTCAAGCGCATTGGAAACATGGCATCTACATTATCCGTCGTACAACAAATACACCTGGGGTTCACAAAAAACACACAAAAAAAAAACACTCTTAAACCTGGGGCTTTTCAATTAGCAGTTCCAAAAACGACGACCCTTGGTTTGTAATCACTACTTCAGTACTTGAGTACAAAGAGATTGAACGAAGAAATTGGCGACTTACAATGCCACTCCCGATGGAAGAGCTTTGAACTCGGCATACCATGTGACGTAATCTGTCGCGACGATGATCCACCGGTTTCCTTGCGTCGATGGTGGGAACGGTCGAAGCAATTCTATTCGAGTCAGCTGCAACGGCGCAGTCGGGGGACTGATCGGCTACAAAAGTCCTGCCGGCTTTGTCGGCGATTTCTTGCGTCGTTCCCATTCATGGCACTATATCGTGTTTTTGTGGACAGTTTTCGGGAGCTTCGCCCAGTAGTAGTTTTCGCGATTTCTGGCCAGTGTCCTACTGTAGCCTGTGTGTCCAGCTGTCGGGTTATCATGGCGTTCTTAAAAGGTTTCTTCACTGAGATTTTTTAAAGTCACCCGAAGCAGTGCTAGAATGCTGGCCCCGAAGTTCTTTTTTTAGGTCAAGCCCTGCCGAATGATGAAGGTTAGTAGGACACGGGCAAGGGTACGAGGTAGTGCATTGCCGCAATTATTAGGAACGCATGGCGATTTCCCTTACTCTGTGAAAGTAGGCAAATTGATTTCGTTCGCCTAGACTTATCTAATGCATTTTATCGTGTATTTCACAATGAACTTCTGAACTAACAGCATACGGCGTTAATAAGCACCTATTAAAATTGATTCAAGCATTCCTAAATAAAAGATCACAGTTTGTGACTATCAATGTTAACGTTTCAGCTACGGACGGGGTTCCGTAAGGAATTCCAGAAGGGTCGATCTTGTACCCTGTTTTGTTTTTATGTTATATTAACGATATTGGGGACGAAGTAAGCTCCGATGATACAGAGAGAATTTTCGCAGATAAGATATTGCTGTACACTAAAGTAGAGTGCCCTCCACATCAGGACAACTTGAATTTGTTGATTGACTGGCTAAAAAGATGATAGGGATGGGAAATTAAAATATTCTGCGACAAAAGCACGTCCTTTAGAATCACAACCAAAGAAACAAACACACGAACGTCTGCCTATAAAAGTAGGAATGACCTCGTAGCATCAGGTGACCACTTTAAGTACTTAAATCTGTGTCAGCAACAAAGCAAATTGTTGTGTGTATGTTTATACAGCCGGAATTTAGTCTGCCTCAGTGGGCGTCTGGTGTCTCAGCTGTAGACGTGCAAATTAGCCAGTGCGGTACAACCGATAGCCTGGGGTCTTTAACGTGCACCACGCAGCAGTGATACAGGACCGCACGCCGGCACAATGCTCACCCTAATAGAAACGGGAAGGGGTAGGGATTGAACCCAGGATCCGTGGGTTCTGCAGCGGGAGCTTTCACTCAACGTGCTCCGAGATGGTGTGCCCTAGACCACTCGGCCACCGATCCTCCTCTGTATCAGCGCATTTACCGTAGAAAAGATTGATAACTTGTGCAATACGGCTAGAAAACAAGTTACGGTTCTTATACAGTGAAATTTAAAACACGCGAAGAGTCAGGTGAACCTAAAAGCTTACGCAACTCTTATAAGACCAACTCGTGTGTATTCCTGCAGGGAATGTGACCCGTACTGCTAACACTAAATAGATCTATTGAAACATATTTAGAGACAATTGCTACTCGTTCTGTGCACGCGCGTCGGCGAGCGCGTGTGTGGCCGAGTTGTTACACGCTTGACACTTATGCGGATGCCCAGGGTTCCATTCCTGGGAGTTCCGCGTCTTTTTATTCTTTGAGTTCATGTTCTGGTAAATTCGAGAACCCTGGTGCTTGTTCAAGGTCCGAATGTTCTGCGCGCCGACCAGTCTACGTCGATTGTTCGAGAAGCCCACGCGTGTACAGGGTGTCACAAAAGAAAATTTAAAGGGTTTTCTTTACCGCAAAATAAACTAGGCATCGCCGAACGCTCATTCCCCGCCCGAAGGTAGCGCTAGAGGTCACAACCAGATGCCAAAGTTTCAGCCCGATCCGATACCTTAATCAAAAGTTATAAGTGACTTTCTGAAATTTCAATGGGAAAAATGGAGCCCATTTTTGCCCGTTTTCGGTTTCTGGTGCCCATAGAGCCCCATGTATTCGAAAACTCCGTTGCCGCCATTTTCCCATTGAAATTTCCAGAAAATCACTTATAACTTTTGAATAAGATATCATATCGGGCTAAAACTTTGGCATCTGGTCGTGACCATGCATTCGAAAACTCCGTCGGCCGCCATTTTCCCATCGAAATTTCCAGAAAATCACGCATAACATTTGAATAAGGTATCATATTGGGCTAAAACTTTGGCATCTGCTCGTGACCTCTAGCGCTAACTTTGGGCGGAGAATGAGCGTTCGTCGATGCCTAGTTTAATTTTGCGGTAAAAAAACCATGTAAATTTTATTTTCTGACACCCTGTACATAAGGGGTCCTGCGCGGCAAGCCATGGACAGTCTCGCCCCAGAGTTCGATCCTGCAGCCACGCCGCAAAAGACGCCCGCGACGCTCTACTGTTATCTTGTTTCCTTTTTGTTTTCGGCAAAAGTTTACCCCATTAAACGATTAATTTGTTTCAGTTTTCCCCGCTTCATCAATGGTCATTGGTGACAATATGTATGCTTGAACAGTTCAAGCGCCCACCCCTGTATATAGGCCGCGAATTAGCGAAGCTAATATTTCTGCTCATGCTTTGATGGAACCCCCTTAATTTGGAGACCTCCCGTTTTCTACCTCGACGAATTACGAGAAGTCTAAGGGGTGTGCACAATGAAGTTTTTTTTTTTCAAATTTCGCGAATCAATAAGAATACCTACAGGTAATCTTCTTTTTTTAGAACAGCAAAAACTCGGAATAGGCTTCGTGAAATTGTCGAATATTGTGGTACACATTAGTATCATTTAGAAAAATGTATAACTAAATTGCGTTTATAATATTTGGTTTCTCACTTTATGTAATTCTTATAACATAATCTCCTAGTTTTGTTGCTTTTGCGTGTAGCGTGATATGAGCCACTGCGTTTGTACTTCATGCTCTATCTTGATGCTTATTTACTCCTGAAATGCGCGAATTGAGTACACAGTATTAATAAATAAAAGAATTTCCCGAACAGGCACAAGCCGCAAGGCTCATTCTGGCTTCAAGAGATTGGCTCACGAACTATACTTAAAAAGAAAAGAACTGCAACATCAATTTATTATTTTCAGAAACCGTCGGTTTGGGAAGTTTGGGTGTGATCCGCGCGTTACCGCAGTACGAGCGAGGGCTTCTCTTGAAAAAAGAATGCCTACGTGCATGGATTCGCCGCCGTTTGATGTAAGTCTATCTTGCTAGAACAGAGCGAGGATTGTACGCAAACTGCGAAGGCACAGCATCCTTTCTCAACCTCGCATGATTCGTAGATAAACGCGCTGTAGCGCCAGCCGTCGAACGTCGCGTGTGAAGTCCGTCATGAAGTGTTCCGAGCAGATCTTCGAGCTGGGTTTTGAAGTGTACGGCCTTCTGAAAACTATATGACGAATGGCGTAGACCCACCTTCCTCAAATTCATGTTCTTGGGGGACTAATGAAAACGCACGTCAGGTTTGCGCAGCGTGTTCGGCACTGCACAGCGATATGCCACTCACTCGGGGTTCTTGCACTTCGGCACCATGACGCCCTTGAGCGAGCAGAAACTGAATAATCTTCGTGCGTGATTGCTGAGGTGCACTTATAAATTAAGGCCATTAAAACGTAAGATAACAAAAAGTAATCGCCCACTCGGACTGCTGAAGATGCAGCAGAAGGACACGGCGGAAGAAATGGCAGTGCGAACAAGAATCCTCTTTGGGTTCGAACAAGTAACCTTCTTCTGTACGAACGTCACGCCGGGGCACAATGTTGCTGGACAAGCAGCTAACCCGCTGAATGCCCGCTGAGAAGCTGGTGGTTGCATTTTAATATCGGTTTTAGAGTGGATCGCTGTTTTCCTTTAGTGTAGTATTTTGACACTTTTTGACGCATTTAATGATATTTAGACGGAGCAAGGTATAAAACTTAGCTTTAAACTAAACAGATAATTGCACAACTTACCAATTAATAATAGACTGTACGACCCTTGTGGACCTCACGTCGGGGTAACAGTGATCGTCATAAGCGACTGTAGGAGGGGAAATGTTCAGTTCTTGGTTTTTAGCGTTGCAATTATTCGGCGGAATCGGGGTATTTCGGAAAAAAAAAAAAAACGATGTGTTTTTCGTACATGTGTTAAGATAAACGAAATGAAAGCAACACGATGCCGATTTCTGAAGCGCTCCAATCGTTTCACTGCCCCTCTCACTAAATTCAAAGAAAGCGAAGGACCGTCTAAGTAGACAGAGACAATAGCAGAAATGAAAATAATTTTGGCCAATAGGTAAGACTCAAACGTTCGTTTCAAATTGGTTTCTGGTTTTTATTTTGTTTATTTGTGTCATATGCCGCGTAGTGGCTTCATTTGTTATCGCTTTCCTTTTACTTCGCTAATTGAAAGTCAAACTGTAGAGAAACATTGAAAGTGAAGGTACGGCTTTTTATTTTTTCTTGTAAACGCCAAACCCGACTGGTAAGAATGCAACTATAATAAGCCAGGAAATAAGATTGCTGCCAAGAAGCTTTATTTTTCTGTTCAAGTTTTTATTACAACAAAGCCGTCTCATTATGCGGTAAATGCTTCATGCGTGGGTGGGATATGAATTCAACTGAAGAAATCAGTTTCCTGACACGCATATATTTATGTCGCTTTTAACATGTCGACATCGCAGACCTGAAAAGAAATTCATGATCTCATTAGTGTGAGTATAAATTTAGTGCGTCTTATAAAAACTGAACAAAAATGAAACTGGTCATCAGGATGTTTTTATACTTGTCAAATATTTAGACTTATGGCCGTGCATTGTAGTCTGGAGGAAATTCGTAGCTTTCGTTGTGAATTATTCCTGAACCTTTATTCGGCTTACACTTACTTTTTTTGAACATTGCAAGTAATTGCCCCCTAATAGACCAATGTGTATTAGGACCCTAATTAATTGAACCGACATAATTTTATGAGTTTGGATTATAGTGTTCCTTTTTATTATGTTATTTCTATTAATATAGTTTCCTTTTGACTTAAATTATTTCTTCGAAGCCTCACAGCAGCGGCGAACTTTCCGTGAGAGAAGGACATCTAGCAGAACGTTGGCTGCCCTCTGTTTCTTCTGCTAAGGGACCTCGCTAAGTAACTTATCTAAGTCACTTCATAAAGCTACCACTGCCGCCCTAAGGTTTCGGGAGGCTTCTTTATGAGTTATTGTCGACTTCTGTATGACTATAGATGGCAATAGAACGTCTCTCAAATATTTCATATCCGTCGTGGCGAAACCATCATATATATGCTGGACAACTTTAGGGGATTCTTCCGACAGTGTTGCACGTATTGTTGAGCTGTTCAACATTAAACAACATCGTCGATTACAAAATGTTTTTGTCACCGAAAGACAGACGAAAACCACAATGTTCCATATTTATTACCGAAAAAAAAAAATGAAAGCCGTTTACAACTCCCTGTAACGCCGAATTAGAGCGCAGCTCTTGAGGAGGAGGAGGGGAAGGTACGGAGAAGAGGCTATGCCCCTCTTCTCTCCTGCTCGTCTCCCATTTAGGAGAACTTTTTCCGCTAAATTTAGAGGGAAACGTTTGCGCTAAATTTAGCGGGGAAATTTTTCCGCTAAATATAGCGGGGAAATTTTTCTGCTAAATTTAGCGGGGAAATTTTTCTGCTTAAGTTAGCGGGGAATTTTTCGCGCTGAATTCAGCGGGAAAATTTTTTCCGCTAAATTTAGCCGGTAAATTTTTTCCGCTAAATTTAGCGGGGAAATTTACTTATAATGAACCACGCGGTTACGCCGACGCCGACGGCTACGGCTACGCCGCTCAAAGCGGAAACAGGCGCGTAAGAGCTGCGCTCTAAAAAAGAAAAAAAAAAGCTAAACAAACTTCTTATGAGAAATGACGCCATTTGGGGGGAGCGCCGGCCAGAAGGTCGTCGGAATGATAATCTTGCACAAAAAAAGGAAGCAAAAGTCACCTGGCATGCACGGACAGCTGCCTAAGTAGATGTCATCCTTGGTTGGAGCCTCCGAGCACAGGTCTCCCCGTTGCCCCAGAGGCTTACAAATGGCTGAATAACCGACACCTGATCGTGATCTTGGTCGCAAACAGCACGTGCCATTTTTACATTTGTGGTACTCGTTGCAGAATTCACACACATCTCCTGGAGGTGGATCAGTGGCAAGGGGCAACTTTGAGACCTGTTCCTGCAAAATTTAAAATATTGAAGAAAAGAAAACGATTCCAGAGAGATTTATGTTTAAAGTTGGCCTTAACAAAGTTATAGGGCAGGCGGGCTCTAGGTACACTTTCCACTTGAGGCTTCAGAATGTGCAGTAACACGGTTCATGTTCAAGTGAGCAGTGTAGGAGTAACGCGTTTCAGGTATCGATGCTGCTCGAAACGCGTTCTTTTTAGAGCGCAGCTCTTAGGGGCCCGTTTCCCGCTTGAGCGGCGTCGGCGTAACCGCGAGGTCACGTGACCCCCCCAAGGTCACGTGATTTACCCAGGTCACGTGACACCCCTAGGTCACGTGACCCCCGAGGTCACATTATTTAGGGGGTTCACGTGACCCCCCTATATATAGGTCACGTGACCCCCCGAGGTCACGTGACCCCCCGAGGTCACGTGACCCCCCGAGGTCACGTGACCCCCAAAAATCACGGACCCCCGAGGTCACGTGACACCCCTAAGTTCATGTGACCCCTTCAGGTCACGTGACCCCCAAAGGTCACGTGGGCCCCTGAGGTCACGTGGGCCCCTGAGGTCACGTGACCCCATGAGGTCACGTAACCGCCTGAAGTCACGTGACCCCCTTGAGGTCACGTGACCTCAAGGAGTCACCTATCCCTCAGTACGCTTCCATCTTCCTCCTCAAGAGCTGCGCTCTAACCGGCGTTACAGGGAATTGTAAACGGCTTTCATTTTTTATCAATAAGGTACTAACTTAATCGTTAGAACCCGGATCGACTAACGAGTAAAGTAACTGCGATAATAGTTTACGGTATTACTATCAAATTACATTAGCCGCTACTTTTTACTTTTGGAGAAAATATTCTCGTTTTGAAAGTGTCAACGCAAAATCGGGACCATTCTATTCTACAAATTTGATGGACAAAAAAATACAAATTCGTGAAATCGCTCTTTAAAACAGTAATTGCTGTCTAAGTTCGTAACTGAGGTTTCTCGCTGCAAAATACTTCAATCTAAAGTAACGCAAAGACAACGTTCCTTAGTTTTCAGAAGCAACTGTGACGGTACTTCCTTACATTCTGCCAGGAAGGTAAAAAAGATAATCTAACGCGTTAATTTTTTGACGAAATACCAACTAGCGATACTTCGTTAGTTATTTTGTAACGGCCACAGCACAACGACCACAGAACAACTCACGTTGTCATTGTGTTGTCGTTGTTGTTAATAAAATAAACAACAACAACAACAACGATGAACCACGACGACGACAACAACAACACCATTTCTTCATATCGAAAACGCTAGTAATAGTTGTATTAGTGTATCTTCATTGAACAGACGGATTGTGATGAGACACACGCCAATGCATTAGCTACCGAGCAGGTGTCGTAAACATGTGTGTGAAAGTTTGAATGCCTTTTGGTAAAAAATACCGGCGTTTTGTCCGTCGGCAAAATGACATAGTATGTTTGGCATCTCGAAAAATAGTCTGGCGGGTCACTTGTTCCCAAGGTTGCACATTTGCAGCTAGTGGGGGGCGATCAGGAACCAACGCAGTTACCAACAATGCGTATATTCAACCCGTCTCCAAAAAGGTTTGCTGTTTGTCGCTTTATAGGGTTCTCACAACTTCAAAATTCGAACACAGTTGACTCAAACATTTGCAAAACAGGACCGGGCGAGCTAAAGAAATTTCATGCATCGAGAGAGATCGGAATTAAAATTATATAAATTAAACAATGCCAGAGGGCGTATCAAAAGTCAACAATGTGCATAAAAGTGAACGTGGCTAGGGATGAAGTTTCTTCAAATACCCACAAAAACAAGAACAGAAATAAAACCTTACTACATATTCGGTAGTCGCATCTTCCAGCAGTACGGCTCCGACTCGGATGGCGGTCAAAGCAAGCGCTATGCAAATTGTCTTCATGGATGGGCTTTTACTGCTTAATATACAGTCACCCTTTACCCTAAAACCAATCCCGGCCTCTTTTTATACGAAGAGAAACTGAAGGAGAGGGAGGAACTGTGAGCGTGCGGTGACTTCAGAGCTTCAAGCTCCGATTGGAAGGATAGCTTTTAGATGCAAAGGCATCCAAAGCCCTTTTTCGCTATGATTGGAAGGGGAAGGAGAGTAGTATGGTAGAGACAAAGAAGCTAGTCTTTGCACCTACCAATTAATCCTTCGTATTAGCGCACGGCGCTATGGCGTGACCCCACGTTCTCATCTCCTCCTCCTCTTCGGTTTCTATCTGTATAGAAACAGCCTCTCCTCTCTCTTTCCTCACAGCAGATATTAAAAACGCATGTGGCCTTTTTGTATTACACAAAAAAGTTGCCTTCGCGCACAAAAAAAAAAAAAAATTATCGTCGCGTTGTTTTGAGCGTAGGATGCGTTTTTTTCGTGACATTTATTGTGTGACCGTGAACGATGTTCCTACGTTGATTGTCAATACGGACGCGGTATGGTTGACACTGTCAAAATTTCGTAAAAAAAGGCTTCTTAAACTCCGAAGCCTCAAGCAATATGATAGCGACGGTTAGTGAGTGCCACATAAGAGTCACAGTTTTTGTAAAAAGTATCTCATAGAGTGACACTAGAGATATTGATGGGGTTGTCTTTTACAGCGATAAGTCCATCTTTGCGACTTAAGCGCAATGAAGTCTCAAAATTATGCGCGATGCAGTTGTCTTACAAACACGATAAAAGGTAGCAACCCGGTTTTCTTCTGCTATTAAAAAAAAAAAACAAGGAATGTCACGATCATTGATCGCATGGCCAGGAATCCGAGACAATCGCTTTACTCCCATTGCGTGACGACAGGTGGCGTCCAAGCCCGAGCAGCGGAATTAGAGCCCCTTATGGCCACCATACCTCTATCCTGAGAAAAGTGGCGCCATTTATTATTGTAGAAATGCTCGAGGCACGTGCCGCGCGCCACCTCTGGGAAGAACATGAGGTCTGAAATCTGGCTCAGAGCATGGTGCGCTGTGCCACAATGATCTTCAAAGGGCTGCACGTTGCACGTGCTTCCTTCATCGACGCACTGTGCGCTACTTTTAAAACTATGGGGCTTTATGCGGAATACGTTTTCAATTTCGTATCTGCCCTTTCTTTCCGCCTCCTCCACGGCTCCGCCAATCCTATCTTCGGACCCGAAGAGGAGGCATCTTGCAATGCGGCATAGTGTGCTATACTCAAGACTGCTTGGGACCCCGGGAACTTACAAGGCCACAGCTGAGCGCGCATAGCGCAGAAGGGCTAAACGTTCACGTGCTTCGCGCTCTTCAAATGTGAATTCGCTCCTGCGGCCAATGCGCATTTTAAAGCAAGAAATATACACCATAGTGAATTTCGTCTTCTATATATGTACGAGCGACGTTGAAGCAAGAAGCGCGAGCCGAACGCGCTGGGTGTTCCTACCTTGCACGCCCGATCGTGCAGGAATTGTTCCAGGAAGTATGATTGCGCCTGTGGCTTCACTCGCGCATAAGGTAAAAACTACAGAGTATACTAGAATAGGGAGTATTCACTGTCGGCCATATTTGTGTGCGCGACTGCTGAGCGCACGCTGATGGCGAGGTTCCGCAGTTCTTTTGCAACGTGCATTCTGCACCATCAAGATTGCCGGTCTTAGCAGGCTAGTAATGTGAGCTCGTTCCGAGCATGCGCTCTCGACATCGCCCTGAAATATGGCATGCAATGAATAGCCCCTATTAGGAGTGTTCACTGGACGCCGTATTTGTGGGTGCTGTCTAGAGCGCATGCTCAGAACGAGCCCACGATAGTAGGCTGCTAAGACCGGCACCTTTGATGGTGAAGAATGCACGTTGCAAAACAACAGTGGAAGCTCGGCATCAGCACGCGCTCAGCATTCGCGCACACAGCTGTTGCCGCCTGTGAATACTCCCTATAAGGAGTATTCAGTGGGCGCCATATTTGTGGGTGATGTCTAGAGCGCATGCTCTGTACGAGCCCACATCAATAGGCTGCTAAGACCGGCAATCTTGAGGGGGCGAAATGCACGTTACAAAAGAACTGTGGAAGGTCGCCATCAGCACGCGCTCAGCAGTCGTGCACACAGCTACGGCCGCCAGTGATTACTTCCTATGCGAGGTAGTTTTGGGACCGGAGCGGCTCGCGTGAGGCGTGTGGTGTAGATCGCGATAGGTGTTGACACCGGCGCATCGACAGTAAGGTCACTATGGTGGTGGTTGTGCGCGTGCATTGCGTGCACCTGCACGTGCTGCGGAACGTGAGGACTGCAGCGACTTTCTGCAGCCCTATCGACTGCAGCGCCGCGGTGGCTGTCTACACGCGCATCCCCCCATGCTCCCATTGCCGAGCCGCGCCGGTCCAAACGCTACCTCGTATTCTACACTGTTAGCAAGTGCCGTGTATTTGGTGAATATTTGGGGTGAAAAACACGCTATTTACACAAATTACCATAAATTTACACGATGAGTAACGGATAATACGTTCAGAAATCATGCGAGGTTGTAAAAAACGTGTTTTGGTTCGGTCATACACGCATAACCGTGTAGCCGACATCGATAACACGCATCGCCCCCGGCGACGACCGCGGCATTGCCGGCTATCGAAGCACCGGAATGCTTGGGGACACACTTAGAAAGGACCGTCGAGACAAATGCCGCGGAAAGAAACATGTCTCGGAAACAGATATGCACCAAAAGCAATTACGCCATGTCGCGGGACGTTGGCGAAACCCACGCTTACCGTGCTCGCCGCCATTTCCTGGTCGATGGCAATGCGGCTTCCCTCATGTCGCCCATGTTTGCATTTAGTTTAGGGGTCTTGATAATAGTTTCTTACACACCACAAATAAAGTCATGGGTCTAATTATTCGTTCCAAACAGTTAAAATGGATATAAAAAGCGTGTCTTCGATGTGAACACGTGACATTGCAGTTGGTTTCGTTTTTGCTTCAACCTTGAACTGCGTCAACTGCAAGCGATCTGGCCACGGCGCAAGCGCAACGTCGATGTACGGTGGAAGCAAGAGCCGGTTGGCTTTCGTTGTTTTTGTTTGAACAGAGAAAATTCTAGCAGCCGCAATTGTTTTGGCTTGACGGGACGCGAAAAGCTTCGCATAGAGCTTCGCAGTTTGCGAGCACATATATAGTGAAAACGTGACCGGAGAAGTGCCCCTGTGATGTTCCCGGAAGACGGAAAGTACCATTCGTCGTGTGTGCTTTGAAAGCGAGGGGAGTCACAGGGTCCACGAGTGCGCAACCACAAGCCAAGGTTCACGACAACGCTGCGTTCTTCGGCGATCTCGTTCTGTTTGGGGCAACACGGTGATGCGAGAAAGGGCCGAAACGTTCGTGGTGTGTGGTGCGGTGCTTGTAGGTAGAAACCCGCACTAACGCGGAGCTCATATTGGTTGTTGGGGGGTTGCGTTTGACGGGTTCAACCCCGTCGTCGTCAGCTGATCCGGTCCAGCTGTGGTCCGGGAGGACGCAGCTGTGGTCCGGGAGGACCGGTCCAGCTGTGGTCCGGGAGGACGCAGCGAGCGTTCTTAAAAGTAAATCTTCCTTCGTTCCGTTTCAAAATGTGGAAGATTCCCGACGCATACCGTGAGTAAAATGCTGCGGGCGTTTTCAACAAAATTACGTCGTTTTAATTGAACAAGGGACTTCGGATAGTTGCCCTAAATCTGCCGTTTCTATGCTTCGTGTCGTTGGACTGCATTTGCACAGCGACGTGTTCGCACAGCGACGCACACCGCTCGAGTAGATGATTCGGTCCCGCAAACGACCGGTTATACAGAATTTCAGGGAAACTTAAGTCACCACCGATGTTTTCCTGTAAATCTCGTGTGACTCGTGTGAGTTTGTTGCGCTCATCATGCGGTGTGAATAAACTAGGGCAAGATTTTCTACCTGCCCACAGATGCATGAATTCTGAGACCAATTTTTTACGTAGTGAACATAGTGGTTTTTCTTTACATTGGGAAGAGGCCCGAATTTGTCTCTTTTCCCTCTGGCACTGCCCCAACTTTCAGGTTGCAGTTTCAGTAGACATACCTACTAACAGGTACAAACTGCTCTAAAGCAGGTAAAAGACTGGGAAGTCAGGACGGTGCGGACACCGTGTTTTGCGCTTCTCGCAAGGTGACTGATGCTTTTGCGAGGTATGCGGAATATGCAAACGATTTTGTTATGCCCTTCGTTTGCGTCTCCAGAAAAAAGAATAATATTATTTACAAATTTAGGCGCAATCACAAGCCAAGATTTACGATAACAGTGCGTTCGCTTCGGTGGTCCGTGTAGTGGTATTATACCCTGCTTTCTGCAACACCGTGTCATGACGAAGAGCTGGAACGGTCACGGTCTGTGCTGGGCTACCGGTTGACAGAAACCCGCATCGCCCGCATCGGCACCGAGTGCACTTGGGCTGTTGATGCTCAAGCCTTTCATACGCGGCTTGTCGCCAGCTGATCCTGCTGCTCGACGGTGAGGAAGCGGAGAGTGTGACCTCTGAAGTAAATGTAAATCCTCGTTCATCCAGTTATCCAGTGTCAAAGTGTGGAAGATGTCCAACGTGTACTGAGGGCGGGAACTACGAGAGTTTTGACTTGCTTTTATAACCGAAACCAGAGCAGCGAGATAATTGCCTTGCGTACTCCAAAATGACGCAAGCAATAAGTTTCAACAGGTCGAGTACGTCACCGCAGATGTAGGCGAGACTGTGCACTGTTTAAACGCTTGCAGTATCCACGAGTGGTACCAGAAAAACCACGTCAACAGAAAAGGAGCTCGCGATTTTAGCATAATGCATTGCCACGGGCTCGTGAATTTTCAATGTGGCTATAAAGAAATATTTAAAAAAAAACGCATCAGCGCCACATTAATGATCACGAATAACTTCGGTCACAAACTCCCAAGCCTCACCGCTTCGCTCGACACC